GGGGGAAAGGGATGTCATATAGTGTCGGTAAACATGTCACGTTCACGTGTGAATCACGCTTACTCACGCTCACGGGCCGTGATTGTGAGTGAACGTGAATAATTTTGGACACTCCGTGAGTGAGCGTGATTTACGATTAAAATCTCACTCACGCCACTCACGGTTTTTCAATAGGTGATACATTAATACATGTATATTGTAAAAATATATATTCTATATCTATAGATAATACAGTATTTGCTAAAAATAAGTCAACATATAGTTATTTAGTATTTGGTAAACAACGTGTTCAACGACAATAGTGTGGTTAAAAGCATTATTATGGATAATGTAAATTCTATCCCTAAATTACATATAGACAAAACGTGAATGACGTGAGTGAGCGTGAGTGAGTGGAATTTTTACTTTCGTGAGTGTGAGTGAGCGTGAATGAAAATTGTCCAATTTACCGACACTAATGTCATATACCTGTTGATTGATTTTGACGCGAATCTCCAATTGATTAAACTCTTTGAGATCATCGGTGAGAGCCCTTTGTGTGGACTCTCGCGTCAACATCTCGTGCATCGCAATGAGTATCGCATTTTTCCGGAGCACCACTTCTTTGTCGTACCGAAGCATACGCTCTAAGAGCTGACGTTCAGCCGACTCGAGCGCTTCCACTTGGTTTCGGTGCCTCTCATCCCAGTTATAGATACTGTCCAACAGTTGCGCCGAATGTCTGTCCACTGGAAATGAAAAAGTATGATTACATTTGTCTTCCGAACTGATCCGTAAACCGTGCCATTCATTGAGATATTGTTTTAATTAATGTTTTTTATTATTTTTAGTGTGTTATATAGTGTGTTATATGTTTAGCGAAAATAATAATCATATTTACCGTATTTAAATTTTTTATATCAACATTTATTACCGGGATGAATTACAACAATCATTATTTAAAATACTGTTTCATTGCATTATTTAATATTTAATTTTATAGTAAACAAATCTATGAATTCTAACACCAATTAAATTTTAAACCTTATAATAGCCTTTGTTTAAAACAATTGGTCCAATTTTGGGACATGATACACACAATATCCTGCGTCACCATTACGTAAATTTTTAATTATAATTAAATTAAACTATTTTTAATTATCACTAAACATATGGATAAAGCAACTGTTTTTGTCCAAACATTTGAACGCCATTTTAATCACTGATTGTTTGCAATCAATTCAATTGATTCACACAATTAACGAAAGCGTCGAAAGAGTTTTGTCACCGAAAAGAGCAGTCAATCCATTGAATTGTAGAGAGAGAGAGAGAGAGAGAGAGAGAGAGAGAGAGAGAGGGATGAGAAGCAAACAATTGGACGTAAGTCTCATTCAATACACTATAAAAAGCCATAGTTTTGTGGCATTTCATTGATTCGCTCTTTAAATGCAAATTTGAATTGAATATCATTTTTGTGGTTTTAATTGTTTTTATGAATTAATTAGTTTACTAAACGTATTGTAAGCTAAGAAGCTTACCAAGCCAATGTTCTCATCCCTCCTAGGTATACCCAAAGCCCTGACCAAAGTACCCATCTCTCCTAGACATACCCAAGGCCCTGACTAAAGTACCCATCCCTCCTAGACATACCCAAAACCCTGACCAAAGTACCCATCCCTCCTAGACATACCCAAGGCCCTGACCAAAGTCTGAGTGGGGGCTACATTGACATACACTATAACCTCAGCACTTAAATACTGTGTTAAATAATATGGAAAAAGCTGTAAAAAACTGTAACAAAAATTTTTGTTTTGTGTTTTTAGTAAACAATTGTAATGAATGAAATTAATTAATCAACAAATGTTATCCAATACTTGTCTTAACTAAAAAGCGTTTGTGTACTGAGGTTGTAGTGTATGTCAATGCAGTCCCTAATAAACGATGTATTGCTGGATAACCAACTTGTGCGCATAAACACGCGATTATTGTGTATGAAGAATGTGGTTTATAGGATTGTGAGGCCCTCCTCCCTCCCCCCTCTATTAGTAATGCTAAGTCTATGGGGCTAATACTAATCCTATGCATCATCTTGGCATACTCAAGGCCCTGACCAAAGATCATTATTACAATTAACAGACGGTTAAGTCACTTATTTAAAACCTATTTTACAAAAACATATTTAATATTAAAATGGTTAGCACAATCATGTTGTTGGTATTTAATCGAGATATTTTATCGATATCGTTATTAATAACAACAATAATGGGATTGATGATTTATTACCTGGTACATTTCTACGCCAATCTACGCCACTATCCGCCCGGTCCTACGCC